ATGTTGAGTGGCCGAAGAAGAGAACGGTAAGTATTCACATTCACGCCATAGCTTGGGTACAGACGATTGAACGGCAAACCAGACCTTCACACACCGCAATGCGAAAGGTACTTTCGACAACCACTACATCCACATAAAAAACAAAGGCGTTTTACATAGCATTTATACAGTCTAATGGTATAATGGATTAAAGTGGCTGCTTGCAGTCCAGCAATGACAACGGTGTCTAACACTGACTGCCATGCGTGTCGCAAAGGACCAGAATACGTTATCAAGCTGCAAAATTTGGTAACCTTGCTTTGTAGCGCCGAAGTAACGTAGGAGGCCCACGCCGAAGAGCACCACAGGCGAGTGCGATTCAGCCCGACTCCCAGGGATGGAGTCACTGATACAAGTATGTCCAGCGAAACATTTAAAGAAATACGTTAGCATTGTTACGCTGTCAGAAGCCAGTTGGCCGTATAAGGTGGAAGAGACCAAGTTGGAGGCGCTGTGTGAGTAAGTGCACGTGTGAGGCGCGCTGTGTGCTGGGAAGCCCTTGGGAGGACCGGTACATGCGGAAGGACGAGTGCAAGGAGCGCCTTATAGATTAGGGACATCGAGGAAAGGGCTGTGAGCGGCAGGGTGATTAAGAGGGACGTCGTGCGCGGGACAGCACCCCAGCTAACTGGGCTCCTCAACCGATGCAACCCCCCCACACATGCACACATTCTTGCTTTACCCCCCCCCCCCCCCTTCCCCATGCAGCTCCCACACGCATGCAAGTACCCCCGTACTCGCCCCCTCACCCCATGCAACCAACATACGCACCCATGCAAGCACGTTCCTACTCGCGGCCAGTTTTCTCAACACATGCAAGCAAGCCCGCTTTACTCACCCCCTCACCACCTGCAACCCACACACACACACATGCCCACATTCCAGCTTATAGCGCCCTCTCGCCCCATTTAGCCCCACACGCATGCAGGCACCCCCGCTTTACGTGCCCCTTTGCCTCATGCAACTTACGCACGCGCACATGCCAGCACTCTCACAGTACACGCCCCCTCGTCCCGTGCAACCCACACACGCATGCACGCACACCCGCCTCAAGCGCCCCCTCGCACCATGCAACTCAGACACGCATGCATGCAAGCAATGCCACACTACTCGCCCATTCTGCGTGCGGCTTGTACGTCATAGTGAATGAAATGGCAACAAGCAAAGGACAGTGAAGGGCCCGGGGGGGGGGGGTATGGGGGGGTAAAAAGCCCCCCCCCCCCAGCCGCAAGTTTCCGACTGTTGTGTGCACCCTTCTCAGTTCTCTGATTGTTGGGTTGGCTGGACAATATCACGATACACGATACACGATATGCCTGAGGTTGTGGGCTTAAGTAGTGCAAGGGTGTAAGGAAAAAGGAATGCGCTCCTCGCTTTACCACAGCCTTGAAGGTAACAAAAAAACTCGCAGGAGTATCATAGCTGGTTGTGCTGTTGGCATAACTCGGCAAACAATGTCCTCCTAAAAGACGACGTCTGATGTCGCTTTTCTGGTACGGCATTCACACTTCTGCTTGCAGTCCAGCATTGACAACGATGTCTCACACTGACTGCCATACGTGCCGCAAACGACCAAATTACGTTATCGAATTACGTTATCGACTCTTTACATCAACATTGTATGTTAATATGCTCAGACACGAGATGGGCGCACACACCAGGCTGCAACGTGCGGCTGGAGGGGGGGGGGCTTCGCCCCCCCCCTAACCCCCCCCCCCCTTCTAGCGCCCAACTTACGTGCGCAGCCCAGCTTATTGGCAAGAGAGAAGATGGTGCTTTAGCGTGCGTGCGTGCGGCATGTACGTCATACTGAATTAGTTGGCGACAAGCTCATACACGAGTTGGGCGCACACACCAGGCTGCAACGTGCCCCCCCCTCCAGCCGCAAGTTGCAGCCTAAGTTGTAAGCCCAGCTTGGGTCTTTGCTTGTCGCCAACTGATGCGCTATAACGTGCCAGCCGCACGCACGCTAAAACACCAGCCTTTCGTTTGCCAATAAGCCGGGCTGCGGCTGGTCTTTGCTTGTCGCCAACCAAGGCGCTATAGCGTGCCAGCCGCAAGCACGCTAAAGCACCAACCTTTCGTCTGCTAATAAGCCCAGCTGCACGATTAAGCTGGAAGCTAGAAGGGGGGGGGGTAGGGGGGGGGCGCAGCCCCCCCCCCTCCAGCCGCAAGTTGCAGCCTAAGTTGTAAGCCCAGCTTGGGTCTTTGCTTGTCGCCAACTGATGCGCGATAACGAGCCAGCCGCACGCACGCTACAACACTAGCCTTTCGTTGGCCAATAAGCCGGGCTGCGGCTGGTCTTTGCTTGTCGCCAGCTGCACGATTACGCTGGACGCTAAGGAGGGGGGGGGGTTTAGGGGGGCGCAGCCCCCCCCCTCCAGCCGCAAGTTGCAGCCTAAGTTGTAAGCCCAGCTTGGGTCTGAGAATATTTACATACATTGTTATAATTGAGTCACATGCACATGGATACAAGTATATCTAGCCAATATAAGGACAGGGCGAGCCAAAGGAGTCAATGGCAGTGTCTACGTGAAGATGTTGGGCCACCGCATTTGCCAAATGAGCGAGCAAGCATGTAAGAAACGATAGCAAGTTGCATGCTGGTGTTGTTTGGTACTTACCATGACAAATTTGAAAACAACGGGCTCGGACCTCTTCAGCCGAGGTGCTGCTTTCCATCCTTTTGTAACGTGGATCGTAGCAACCATTTCTCTTGAGGTGGTTACGAACCATTCTGTTTGACCTGAGCTTCACGGCCTTTCGATCGACCACTCCATTTACACATCGCTTGCACAAGCAATACTTAGTTGTCACGGCTACCGCATTTGCATTACTTGTTACTGCAAATATCAGGAAACCACAAGGCCTGCCAGCAGCCAAGCCTGCCAAGCGGAAGTGGCAGGCCCACTTGTGGCAGGCAATGCCCATGTCTGACCTAAGCGCCGCGGCATTTGGACATACTACATGAATTCGTCAACGAAAGAAGTATCTATAGTCGAGGTTGAAATGCTTTTATTGCATACTCTAGCCTCTAGTTCTTGCATTTGAAAAGTCCTGTACTGCGTCACCCGAGTTACGCCGTACAAGCTCAACCTGCCGTATTGAGCCTTCCACCAAAAAAGCATCTAAGAGTTCTGCCAATTTCATACATCGTGTGTTGCCTCAGGACGTTAACTTCATGCAGTGTCCTCTGATCCGAACGACAAAGAATGAACCCCTGATACGTTGACATGTAATATACACAAGCAACTAATAGAAGAACTTTACATATCTTACTTAGTTATGATATTCAGTCTCCCCTAGCGTAGCGATCGTAGGGACTGAGCATGGTTTGGTACGACAGATCTTAAGGCTGCTCCGAGTACTTATGTTCGTTGCTCTCTGTGTTCAGGCATTCTGCCTTCACTTTTAGAGAGCGCTCACATCGCTGTGAGTACCAACTTTCCCGCCCATTCGCCCGAGCCTCCCGGCTCGTGCCCCACCCCTTTCTCCTCCTCAGGTGCTGGCCCAGGCGGCGACGAGCGTTCTGGGCTCTGTGGGCCTCCTCTTCTTCTCTGGGGGCATCGTCTTCAGCGGTTCCAGACTTTGCTCGTTGTTTGGCTGCCGTTCGCGTCTTGGGCTCTCGTGCTGGTGGTGGTGGAGGTTTTCGGCCGTGGTTGTTCTTGTTCTCGGCGCTTTGTTCCCGTCCCGGCCTCCTTTGGGCCTGGGTGGCTGCCTGCCTAAACTTAGGTGCCGGCCGGAGCTGCAGCGAGGTTTTTTGCTTTTGTGTGCCCCTGTTCCCGTTTTTTACTCGCTGCGCTCGCTCCGTGCTGGCTTTCGTATCGTGCCCGCCGACCTAGCACCCGCCGACCTAGCACCCGCCGACCTAGCACCCGCCGACCTAGCACCCAACGACCTAGCACCCGCCGACTAAGCACCCACCGACCTAGCACCCGCCGACCTAGCACCCGCCAACCTAGCACCCGCCGACCTAGCACCCGCCGACCTAACGCCCACCGACCTAGCGCCCGCCAACCTAGCGCCCGCCGACCTAGCAACCGCCGACCTAGCAACCGCCGACCTAGCACCCGCCGACCTAGCAACCGCCGACCTAGCACCCACCGACCTAGCACCCGCCGACCTAGCACCCGCCGACCTAGCACCCGCCGACCTAGCAACCGCCGACCTAGCGCCCGCCGACCTAGCACCCGCCGACCTAGCACCCGCCGAGCTAGCACCCGCCGACCTAGCACCCGCCGACCTAGCAGCCGCCGACCTAGCACCCGCCGACCTAGCGCCCACCGACCTAGCGCCCGCCGACCTAGCGCCCGCCGACCTAGCACCCGCCGACCTAGCGCCCACTGACCTAGCACCCACCGACCTAGCGCCCGCCGACCTAGCGCCCGCCGACCTAGCACCCGCCGACCTAGCACCAACCGACCTAGCACCCGCCGACCTAGCACCCGCCGACCTAGCACCCGCCGACCTAGCGCCCACCGACCTAGCGCCCGCCGACCTAGCGCCCGCCGACCTAGCGCCCGCCGACCTAGCACCCGCCGACCTAGCACCCACCGACCTAGCACCCACCGCATAGCACCCAACGACCTAGCACCCGCCGACTAAGCACCCGCCGACCTAGCACCCGCCGACCTAGCGCCCACCGACCTAGCACCCGCCGACCTAGCGCCCGCCGACCTAGCACCCGCCGACCTAGCGCCCGCCGACCTAGCGCCCGCCGACCTAGCGCCCGCCGACCTAGCGCCCGCCGACCTAGCACCCAACGACCTAGCACCCGCCGACCTAGCACCCACCGACCTAGCACCCACCGACCTAGCACCCGCCGACCTAGCACCCGCCGACCTAGCACCCGCCGACCTAGCACCCGCCGACCTAGCGCCCGCCGACCTAGCGCCCGCCGACCTAGCGTCAACTCGTAACGGGGCACCAGCTACCAGCAGCTGGCACCTAGCCCGCCACGATCGCAATGCCGCTTCTAGGGCTCAGGCGACGCTGATACAGTATACGAGGGAAAAAAGCTTGGTCTGTGTTGAGCTATATCGCACAGTAGCTGTTATCTCGCTTCAGAGGAGGGGAGCGACGCTCCAATTCGATGGCTGGCAGGCAAATGTTCCTGACGATGCCAGTCCGAGCGCCCTATACAACATGAAATTGAAAACAGTGGACGACAAGGCAAGCTGTCTGCTGGAATGCAGCACTGGGTGTGTCCTGTCTGCTAAGCTCCTCCCGTCATGCTTTACAGGAATGCTCCTTGTTGGGGCTCCTAGGATCCCACGTCAGCTCTCTGAGCTCGTTCAGGTCGTTTCTTCACAAGGGCGGTGACGTGTTTGTGGGTAACTACTTGGAGGAGAAGGAGAAGCGCGCCCCAGCAGCTCAGCTCCTCTTTGTTAGTTACCTTGTAGAGCTGACAAGGCCTAAGGGCCACGAGATAGGCGCTGTAGGCGACTATTTCTGGTTGCAGAAGCCCTGGCTCAAGAAGAAGAAGGTGAGCTAAGCATACCTTTGCAAACGTTGCAGCCAGGGCACTCGGTTCAAGGGTGTATGCTTAAGCTGTATGCTTGCTTTCAGGACCTGGAGGGTGTGCTCGCAGCAGGCAGCGACACAGCTCAGGCTGCCAGTAGTGTCCAGACCAGACGCTTCACTCCCACGGTTTCACTGGCGCTTCGGGCGCAAACATTGGGTGGTGCATCCAGCAGCATGCATGGCGCAGCAACTGCACCCTCCTCGCAAACAACACCTTGCCCAGTCTGCATGCAGCAGCAAACTCACAGCAATGCACGAGCCCAGCCCACCAGGTGAGCATGCATTGTAACGTATCCCTTCCACCCACTGTAGGCATGGGTACCTAGGTACGCCCCTTTACACGCCCCCTTAGGACGCGCCTACCTCCGCCGTTGGGACCGACTGGAGGTCTGGAAACATGTGCCATGGCACGGTCGACGTGGCTACGGGTACTACACTCTCAAATGGGGTAATGCTGGAGGTAAGCATGCGTCCTCTACTCGAGCTAAGATGCCAGTGCATGTAGCCTGCCAGATCAAGACCGTTACAAGTGTTGTTTCGCCATTGAGGCTATTGATACTTCAAACCTTGCAGGAAGATATAGATATAAGCTTATGGGATATGGAGCCCAATGAGGATTCCCTGGTCACATTGGGGGTGAATGCATTTCCGCTGGTGAAGCAGCCCCTGCCTCCGCCCCTCTCCCCCACCCATTCCCGCACTCCCCTTCCATGCATGCAGGCCTCCCTTCGCGCTGCCGAGCCGGGCGGCAGCGGAACCAAACGGAGCGGCGCCGACCACAGGTCCCCCAGCAGGCTAGGAGCCCCAGCTCTGAGGTGAGCATGCTGGTGTCGCAGCCCTTCTGCGGTGCAGCAGCTTGTTTATTGCTGGCCGCGGCCGAAGGAGGGTCCTATCCATCACTGTGCGCCCCTCCCCGCCCCAACACGCGCTTACTTTGCCATTTACAAACGCTGCCGCCCCGCCCCAGCCTCCGCCCCTGTCCCCCACCCATTCCCGCACTCCGCTTCCATGCATGCAGACCTCCCTTCGCGCTGCCAAGCAAGCCGGGCGGCAGCGGAACCAAACGGAGCGGCGCCGACCACAGGTCCCCCAGCAGGAGCCCCAGCTCCGAGGTGAGCATGCTGGTGTCGCAGCCCTCGCACCCTTCTGCGGTGCAGCATCTTGTTTATTGCTGGCCGCGGCCGAAGGAGGGTCCTATCCATCAGTGTGCGCCCCTCCCCGCCCCAACACGCGCTTACTTTGCCATTTACAAACACTGCCGCCCCGCCCCTGCCTCCGCCCCTGTCCCCCACCCATTCCCTCACGCCGCTTCCATGCATGCAGGCCTCCCTTCGCGCTGCCAGCCAAGCCGGGCGTCAGTGGAACCGAACGGAGAGGCGCCGACCACAGGTCCCCCAGCAGGAGCCCCAGCTCTGAGGTGAGCATGCTGGTGTCGCAGCCATTGCACCCTTCTGCGGTGCAGCATCTTGTTTATTGCTGGCCGCGGCCGAAGGAGGGTCCTATCCATCAGTGTGCGCCCCTCCCCGCTCCAACACGCGCTTACTTTGCCATTTACAAACGCTGCCACCCCGCCCCGGCCTCCGCCCCTCTCCCCCGCCCATTCCCCCACTCCGCTTCCATGCATGCAGGCCTCCCTTCGCGCTGTCAAGCAAGCCGGGCGGCAGCGAACCAAACGGAGCGGCGCCGACCACAGGTCCCCCAGCAGGAGCCCCAGCTCCGAGGTGAGCATGCTGGTGTCGCAGCCCTCGCACCCTTCTGCGGTGCAGCATCTTGTTTATTGCTGGCCGCGGCCGAAGGAGTGTCCTATCCATCAGTGTGCGCCCCTCCCCGCCCCAACACGCGCTTACTTTGCCATTTACAAACGCTGCCGCCCCGCCCCAGCCTCCGCCCCTGTCCCCCACCCATTCCCGCACTCCGCTTCCATGCATGCAGACCTCCCTTCGCGCTGCCAAGCAAGCCGGGCGGCAGCGGAACCAAACGGAGCGGCGCCGACCACAGGTCCCCCAGCAGGAGCCCCAGCTCCGAGGTGAGCATGCTGGTGTCGCAGCCCTCGCACCCTTCTGCGGTGCAGCATCTTGTTTATTGCTGGCCGCGGCCGAAGGAGGGTCCTATCCATCAGTGTGCGCCCCTCCCCGCCCCAACACGCGCTTACTTTGCCATTTACAAACACTGCCGCCCGCCCCTGCCTCCGCCCCTGTCCCCCACCCATTCCCTCACGCCGCTTCCATGCATGCAGGCCTCCCTTCGCGCTGCCAGCCAAGCCGGGCGTCAGTGGAACCGAACGGAGAGGCGCCGACCACAGGTCCCCCAGCAGGAGCCCCAGCTCTGAGGTGAGCATGCTGGTGTCGCAGCCATTGCACCCTTCTGCGGTGCAGCATCTTGTTTATTGCTGGCCGCGGCCGAAGGAGGGTCCTATCCATCAGTGTGCGCCCCTCCCCGCTCCAACACGCGCTTACTTTGCCATTTACAAACGCTGCCACCCCGCCCCGGCCTCCGCCCCTCTCCCCCGCCCATTCCCCCACTCCGCTTCCATGCATGCAGGCCTCCCTTCGCGCTGTCAAGCAAGCCGGGCGGCAGCGAACCAAACGGAGCGGCGCCGACCACAGGTCCCCCAGCAGGCTAGGAGCCCCAGCCCCGAGGTGAGCATGCTGGTGTCGCAGCCCTCGCACCCTTCTGCGGTGCAGCATCTTGTTTATTGCTGGCCGCGGCCGAAGGAGTGTCCTATCCATCAGTGTGCGCCCCTCCCCGCTCCAACACGCGCTTACTTTGCCATTTACAAACGCTGCCGCCCCGCCCCTGCCTCCACCCCTCTCCCCCGCCCATTCCCGCACTCTGCTTCCATACATGCAGGCCTCCCTTCGCGCTGCCAAGCAAGCCGGGCGGCAGTGGAACCGAGCGAAGAGGCGCCGACCACAGGTCCCCCAGCAGGAGCCCCAGCCCCGAGGTGAGCATGCTGGTGTCGCAGCCCTCGCACCCTTCTGCGGTGCAGCATCTTGTTTATTGCTGGCCGCGGCCGAAGGAGAGTCCTATCCATCAGTGTGCGCCCCTCCCCGCCCCAACACGCGCTTACTTTGCCATTTACAAACACTGCCGCCCCGCCCCTGCCTCCGCCCCTGCCTCCGCCCCTGTCCCCCGCCCATTCCCTTGCACCCTTCTGCGGTGCAGCATCTTGTTTATTGCTGGCCGCGTCCGAAGGAGGGTCCTATCCATCAGGAGCGCCTTGTAGATTAGGGACAGCGAGTGGCAGGGTGATTGAGAGGGACGTCGTGCTCGGGACAGCACCCCAGCTAACTGGTCTCCTCAACCGATGCAACCCCCCCCCCCCCCCCCCCCACACACACACATGCACGCATTCTTACTTTACCCACCTCCCTCCCCATGCAGCCCACACATGCATGCAAGTACCCCCGTACTCGCCCCCTCACCCCATGCAACCAACATACGCACCCATGCAAGCACGTTCCTACTCGCGGCCAGTTTTCTCAACACATGAAAGCAAGCCCGCTTTACTCACCCCCTGACCACCTGTAGCCCACACACACATTCCAGCTTAAAGCGCCCTCTCGCCCCAACCGGCCCACACACGCATGCAAGCACCCTCGCTCAACTCGTCCCCTCACTCAATGCAACCCGAGCACGAAGGCATGCAAGCACTCCAACAATAATCGTCCCCTTGCCCCGTGCAACCTGCATACACATGCACGCAATCCTGCTTCACACACCCCATCACCCCATGTAACTCAGACACGCATGCATGCAAGCACTCCCACATTAGTCGCCCCATCGCCCCATGCAATTCAAACCCAAACGCATGGAAGCACTCCCACATTACACAGCACTCTGACAGTACATGCCCCCTCATCCCGTGCGGCCCACACACGCTCAACATTCCCGCTTCAAGCGCCCTCTCGACACATGCAGCCGAACGCATGAGCACTCCCACATTACTCGCCCCATGCATCCTGCTTCACGTGCCCCCTCGTCCCGAGCAACCCACACACGCACGCCCCATGCAACCCATACATGCACGCCTTCAAGCCCCACAACTTTACTCACCGCCTCACAACCTGCAACCCACACACGAATGCAAGCACCCCCGCTTTACTCGCCCCCTCGTCCCGTGCAACCCGCACACGCATGCATGCACTCCAGCTTTACGCGCCCCTCGCCCCATGTGCAACTCAGGCACGCATGCATGCAAGCACTCCCACAGTAATCACTTCATCGAACACATGCCCAAAGGAAACCAAACAAGGGACGAAACACGCAAAACCCAAATCACACCCAAACTCTACACCACGCCCCACACAAGTTGCGACGGCCCCCCCCAGGCGTGCCCCGCCATGTTTAAGGGGATTTAGCTCAGTGGTAGAGCGCGCGCTTTGCATGCGTGAGGTCATGGGATCGATCCCCATAATCTCCAGTCCGCCGTTTTGCAACCCAAAGAGATCATCCTTCTGAAACCCAAATATCATCCTTTTGCTTGCTGCCATAGCGGTGCGTCATGTGTTGCCGCACCACACATCAACGGGTGGCTTAGGGCGCAACGAATATCCAGCTTCTGTGACTGTAGATACCCCAAACTGAAGGAGGGAAAGAATTGGTCAATAGTCGGTTGGCAAAGTGTCTATGTGTATGTCCGTCGGCAAATGTCAAGGCAACACCCTTGATGCGCGACACTATGCACACCCTGTGCGTGATCGAACTCGATGCCTCGATGATGGAGGACATAGCCGGTGGTGATGAGCGATCAAATCATGACGAATGGGAGCCGTAACATTGATGATGTGGGCAGACCAGCACGCACCCAATGCGCATGCACCCAGGGTGACTGTCATCAGCGGACGGATGACAGGCCCGTGGCTTACCGTGTCTGCTGACTGTCCAACAAAATCGTGGACGGCCGCTACTCACGGCCAACAAGAGCTTTTTCACCGCCTGCCACTCCTTCGACGCTGCTGGACGAGTAGTAAAGGGTGATTGAAGTTGTAAGCGACTTGCTTGTTATGGCTAGCACAAGAGCATCGTGGATGCACAACACATACACGCACACACCGCTGCACCTGCCTGACGGAAAAAGCGGTGGACCATCAATGACCCCGCGCGCAGCAACCTGATGACAATACCAGCAGCGGTGCAACTGTTGGACACAGAGCAGGCTAACGGTAGGTGGACCGCAGACAACCGTGTGTTGTTTGGTGCGGCAAGCTCCTCCCCTATACATGGTGCCAGACCCTCACATACACTACGTACATACCATCCCTCTATCTGCAACGTGCGTCCGCGGTTACCTAGCGTGCTTCCCCTAAGCTACTGGGAGCACCTTTCTTGATACCCTGTAGGTGCTGTCGTCCTAGCAGGTAAATCCAGGGCCGCATGCATGCAGTCACATGTCGTACAGCCCGCTGTACCAGCAGCAACCCACAAGAAAACGTTACCATTTACACTTCAAAGCGTCCAATACTCCAGCCAGCGGCAGGAACACGGCCATGCACCACTTCCCCCACGCAAGGAGTGAAGTACTGTTGGCCTGCGCAACTGCTACACAGACATTGTAACCTAGTGGACCTATCCATTAGTAACTGAGAGACCCCCCTCAGACTCGCCTAGAGTGCAGGACCCATTTAGTTCACCTCTTGGCCGTGCCTAACAACCACAATGGACCTAGAATGGGTCCCTAACGGGGTTGCCGTACGGGGCTTAGGGGCCGTGCTTGGACATAGACCTTTTAGAACACGTTACTGTCATCAAGGGGATTTAGCTCAGTGGTAGAGCGCGCGCTTTGCATG